CTAGGAAAGGAAAAGGTGGGAGAAGTAACAAAAAGGAAGAGGAGATGTGAAGAAACATATAAGAAACAAGACATGGAGCTTTAGAAACTGGAAATAAAATAGACTCAGACCTGGATAGGAAACCAGAGAAAATGCCAAAGTACTGATTTATGATGCACAGTGGTCAGTCCCGCAGGCCAATGCCATGACATGACTGTATAAGCTACATGTTCTTCAGGGGTAACGATGCCCTTTTCTCTGAAGTTACATGGCTTTATAGAAAAACATCTCAGACAGGATTACAGTATCACGCTTATTTTACTCCACAAACTTAATTTCTGCTTCATAGCAACAGCTATGGGAGACACCGCAAGCGTTTTAGCGTCTGTGCAGGAATGTTTCACTGGCGAGATCAGAGTTGAACAATACGAGGCAAGGAGAATCAGCACAGCCTGACCGCTGGATTTTTGTACACCACTGATGGCTGACAGACCCTCGTCAGTGACCAGTTAGGTTAGGCCAGTCAGTCATGCTTTGCTTAGAAGTGGCCGGATTGACTTCAAGGACACCAGAAACAAATTCTTTTCTGTTCTGATATTCTCCATCTTGAGTACTTTTGACATGAACCTAACCAGCAAACCATGAGTAAGGTCCAGTCATCCTCACAAATTAAAATGTGATAGAAAAAATGGGAAAAAAAAGATCTGCTTCCAACTGCATTCAAGACAAAGATTTGCTGCAGTGGTATACAACGATCCCAGACAGGTGGTATGTGGATTCAGGTATTTTTTGAGCCAGCACTTAATTTGCCCCATGCCCTCTGCTGCTGTTCCTCTTCCCACCTCTCCTCCTTAAACCACACATACGTGTCTGCAAATTCTGGAAGCTGCCTCAGCTCCGGTCTTAGCGTTGCAGCTGGCAATAGAGTGTCCAAATTTGAAAGTTCTTTCATGGCAGCCAGCCCAGTGCTACGGTTCTCGAGCAGCAACACCTTCCCAAGCGCAGGTGGCAGTGTTCAGCTGCTGGGTAACGCTTGCTGAACTGACAGCCTCTCCCCCCATCGTCTTCACGGGAGACAGCAAGCAACCCCGTGGGGTTTTGTCTTCCTGAGTACCCTTGTTATTTAACTGTCTTATAAGCCACATTATTTCAAACATTTCCTGCATCTGGAAATGTTTTCCCAAGCCATAATCAGACGTCTAACATACTGTTGACTTCACTATTTTAACTTGGACAATGTTAAATTGCCAATTGTCAGAACTGTACCTTGGTCGCTTTTGAGCGGTCCTCTCACTTAGGGATTTTCTTGCCTCCCAGTATTTTATGTCTAAGTCTAGGAAAAGTAAACAGTCAGTTTCCAGTTAGTCTGATACATGGTACCGGGATTCGCTTAAGTAAGAAAGGCTAGTTAGATCCTGCTATAATTTACACCAAATGTACCGTAGTCCCAACCATCAACAAGATTCTGCCCAGTATAAACATTTATACCTCTGGCTCTTTAAAGAAGGAATTTTAAAAATCATAGCTATGCTGTAGGGGGGAAGAACACAAAACATGTTGATGCATTGATTCATCTACATTCATGCTGCCATGGACAATTTTACAAGAACTGTAATTCAGGATAGAAATTCAAATGGATGCACAGACAGTGTAGTAGACTGGATTCCCTACACCGTATTTCACCTCTATGTCACATAGAGCCATGGGATGTAGCAGTTAAATCTCATGTCTGAATATTGGATACATGTTCCAGTTTCTTTGTCAAAACAAGTTTTCGGAAATACTCATCACCACGACAGGGAGATTTGCAGTATTGAAGGTTGCAACCAAACACAATTTTTGAAAATTTATTTTTAAGTGAACAGTATACCTGTTAGTATAGAATACTGATTTCTTTAATCAGCGCTCCTGTGACAACAGTGTACTTTTTTAGACTGGGGTAAAACCGACTGTGGAGCACACGGGTTTTGCCTTCTCCAGCTCGGATTGCCCGCAGTAAGATTGCTACAGCAACAAACTCTTTCCTCAAGCCAATCCTAAAGCAGGAACACTTTTTTTCCCGCCCCCTCCTCCTCCAGCTGCTAAGCAAAGAATAAACTTTTAGCTTCGCCCCTCCTTTATTGGAAGGGGAATAGGGTAATATGCTGTAATTGGTTTTCCATGTTTGCCAAGAGTCTGTTTCCTCTTATCATGCACGATATTTAACATAAGTCTTGTAATAGTTCCAAAAATAATAAAATCTGTCCCAAGAATAAAAATGATAGATCCAGAACATGCTGCTTTTTTGTCATGGTCTTGGTTTCGTAACATTCTGTTAGTAGTTTTTATTGCCTAATGTTGTGGTTTCTTTCATACGCAGCAGACCCAGTAAAGACATTTCATCAGCTACTTACACAGCAGCAGCCTGGATTATTTACAAATGGAGATTTCAGTACCGTATTAAAATAAATCACCACTGCATACTGTTAAAGTTACATTGCAGTAATATGGCAGAAGAAAACCCAGAGATTCTAGGGGGAGGAACACTAAGCATATACAAATCGCAAGTATGATATCAGCAAACAAATTTATTAAGATATCCAAATAAAACCTGTTAGTCTCCCTCCTTTTCCCCTATCTCCTCCCATGCAGCAGTGGAACAGGAATAGGCAAATTATATCCCCACACACACGCAAAACAGTACACGTACTATGTGTAACAAGTAGCAGAACCCATGCAATACTTCCCTCATAATTTTATATCATGCAGCAAGACAGTACATCCCTCTCTCCCTCTGCCCCGCCCCTCCATCCCCAAAGCAAATGCCCCACATTGGGCAAATTCCCTTAAGTGTCGATGTAACAGATGTGGAGCGGTAAAGATGGAGAGCAGCACTTTGCTCACTGGATTCAGTCTGAATGAAAGAATACCAGAACAGACAAGATAAAAAGGAGATAATACACAAGAGAAACTTGATTTGGGACGGGGGATCTACCAAACAGAAAAACCTAAGAAGAAAGCTGTAGGGCAATCAGTAGTATCAAAAGAACAGTCCATCGTCTCAGGCTTCCGCATTTACAAAAGCAATACCCTACTGGTAACAACTTTTGAGAAAAATACAGGCACATTGGGGTGCCCTCATTTAGAATGATTACTTAAAAAAAAAAAAATCCTTTAATGCAAAAAATTGTCTTATGATATTTCTAAGTTTTTTTAATACACACTTTTTCACTCTGATTCAGTTTAACTGTAACTTAGAGCCTGGTAAGAGGTTTTCCTTTCTTCCCAAGAACAGATCAGTCATAGGTAAACTCTTATGGCAGAAATAACTTTCCCAACTTAAATGTATGCCATAGCCTAAAACTGATCTGTGCCCTTCTAACCCCACCAATATATAGATACAGCGATTGAAGGCTCTTCGACTAGTTGGCAACACAGTGAACTAAGCGTCACAAAAAGTGTAACGCAGCAGAAAGGAGAAATCCCTGGAGCAGGGAACAGAGCGCTCGCCGCCTGCTAGGGGCTTCAGCCAGCCTCTTGTTACTTTAGTTTATCAGTGTTTTGGCAGTCATCTACTTAAGTCACTGCTGAGTCTGATCTTGCACAAGAATAAATCAGAATGATTGAAGTCAACAGAAACACACAGGTATAAGATTGAGAGGGAGTGTTAATCTTTCTTAAATGACTGCCAAAATTCCTGGAGCTTCTAATTTTAAGTAGAAATATGAGGGACAAGTCTTAAAATCACACTTAGCGGATTTGTCACTCCAAATTTACTCTTTTGTAAGTTAACTATGGTTTTTACCATATGCTAAACTGGGAGTACAGGGAAACTGTATGATTTTTCAGTATCAATAGTCGTCTTACATTACATATAACAGCTGTACAAGTTGCTAGAGAATAATAAAATGTTTTAATTCTTTGATTATGAAAATGCAACCAATAAAAGCAACTGGAATTCAACATGAAAGTAGGCAAGTTATCAGTCATTCATGTACAAGTAAAACTGAAACCTGTGAAAGAATAACCTTGTAAAGCACATGCTCTAGAAGTAAACCCTGCTGCTAGGTTCTGTGCTATATGATTTTCAAATTCTAATAGGATAAAATAAGATCAGTGGCTTCTCAGAAAAACAATAAAATACACAGATTTCTAATTGCCCAAAGCACAAAGCTTATGACAAACAGCCAGGCAGAATGCAAGAAACTTCAGTTTCACTCTAGCTCTTCTTTGAAAGTACCAGATTTTTATATAATGCACAGTGTAAGATTGGCATGTAAGCCAGGTCCAACCAGCTGGATCAAAAAATCAATATGCACACATGACTACAGTAAGTCACAGCACATTCCTCCTGCCCTTCACCCCCCAAAAATGTGCTGGTGGGTCTTTGCTATAATAGTCCTAGATTCCCGGTCAATTCTATTCATCTTCCATGCTTTCAGAAAATGAGTGGCTGTCAGAAGCTTTAGATTTGTAAACCATCACCACTTAAAACAGGATGCATTTTTGTTCTTCTCAGGATAGGGTACAAATTCCCCTCCTCTGCTCCCTTAACAGTGGGCAATTTTTACAACTAAGAGAAATTTACTCCCATTTGTAATGTAGCTGAGGCTGCTATAGAAGAGCATGCTTTCCTCCCATCTCATCTCAAATAATTGAGTTCTGCAATGTTGCCAGTCCCAAAAAATTTTCAAGCAGTTAATTCAAGCAAGTACTCGTTTGTTCATTCCTTCTTGTGAGCATCTAGTTACTGCAAGCCAGTTTTCCCTCAGCATCAATGCAATTCAGTCCTATGGTTTTACTGTCATGCAACACAATTTTCAAACTTCAACTGAAACAGTAAGTGTTTGTGTTTTATAAATGCAAACATCATAAACAGTTAATAGTTTAAAGTATGTAAATGGAGTACCCTCTTAAGAATTTAAATAGTTGAAACAATTATATTGCATTGCTTATAATGCTCCTGAATGTGTAAGAAAGTTGAAGTTGGCACGAATGCAAATCCTTACCGGTTGTCCCTTCCCCCAGATACAAACAAAAGATTCCACACGTTTTTTAAACTTTATTTAATCTCAGAACCACTGCTACGTTACACCTGTCAGGCTGATGTTTATTCACTTCCGATGTTAAAGTTCTGACAATAAGAATGGATGACATGAGGATCCATGTCCCCCAGTGTTGTGTTGCAGTCAGTATTGGTCCAGTAAGACAAAAGTTTTGCAGTCATCCCCCTCCCCCCCCTTTTTTTTTTTTTTTAGATACATGAAGCATGGCCTAGCATTAGTGTCACCCTTTTATCTGCAATTTATATAAATAAGATGAGGTGGAAACTCAGTTGTTTCCTCATTTGTAGGAAAAGTGACATGAATATTCTGTACTTTAACAAATAAACACTTAAACACAGGATTTCGTTTTGTACTGTTGCAACCCTTTCATTTGAGGCAAAACATCCCTCCCCCTCCAGACCACCACCATAATAAGTACCAAAGCATTTCTAGTTTTGATTTTCATCAAGATTTCCAAACCGGCAGGTTTTATTTTCACACCCTCTTCACAATAGACAAGATGCTTACCATATATTTAGGATTACAAGTTGTCACTAAAAGAAAACTTTACACAACCACTGTACATTTAGGTTGAAAAACTGTCCTTGCATGAAAAATATACCTAGAAATCAAGTGGTAAACAAGAAAAAACATTAAGAAAAGATTAACGTTTTTATAATGTGCCATTTTAAATTTATCAACTCCTCCTCTACTTTTCATTCATACTCTGTTTTTACCTACAGTATTTGTTAAGGCAAACAGCTAATCCATTTCTGAAGAGGTGCTGTGGAAATTGTGGACAAACAGCAAACATTTGGCATTAAAATAGATAGCACGTATGTAGCCTCTAGTAATATACATTAAGCATTTCTCTTGGACTTCAGGATAATGACAGGGGAAGATGAACATGCTAACAATGTCAAAAAGGCTTAAAATTTAGCGTCCAAGCAATTTCTATTAATGCTTCTGTAGTTTTCAAGCTCTAAGTAGTATAGAATTTATGCAAATGCATTGAAGAATTCTAGCTTGGCAAGTACACCCAAGCAGATTATTAAACTATATATACAGAAAGTGATAAATACAGAATTAAAAGAGTCCTTCCGCTTCGCTTTATAGCCTTGAAAATTGACAAAAAACTTGAGGACAGCTCTACAATATTAAACATTAGGTAACCGCAGGAGCTGGGAAACCTAACTACACAAACTGATTAAAATACTCAGATGACTTTGTAGTGTTTAATACAATTCAGTTCGTAGTCAAGGGCACAAGACAACATTTAACAAAAATAATCACATCAATTGACCTAGAAATCAAATGTAAATAGATATGAATACAATCTCCAAAATCTGTCTTTAAGTGAACATTAACCATTTATTCAAAGTTATACAAGAATTTGAAGGATAAAGTCTTCTTCTGCAACAGGAAACCAACTTACAAGTTTCATGTCTCAGCTGAATTGAAGTGGAGGCGAGCGGGGCGGAGGGGGAGGGAAGGGTGAACAAACAAGTTAGTAGGCCCCATCCAGGCAGCTAGAAAGTAAAAACAGGCTCAACAGCAGCCTCCTCCAGCTTGTTGTCCTCCCTGATTGCCTGCAAGTGTTGCATTAGTAGCAGCATGTTGAGGGCCAATTTTTATGCCATTTGCCTGAAATAAAGTTTAATATACAGTGTAATTATTTTAGAACACTAATACACTTCCAAAGCTTTTTTTTTTCCCTTAAGATCATCACCTAGCAAATTCTCCTAATGTATGCAATAAATACAGCAAAGTTTATATATGGGGGTTTTTTTAGCAACATGTCCCTGGCAATTAAATATAGTTTAAAGGAAGATGCTTTCCTCCTCATTTAAATTTTATTTCTGTTTTAAACTCTGTACCTTAAACTCCTAACAGAGTTTAAGGTAAACACACAGAGCAAGAATTGTATTTGAATATTATTTGGCATTAGGCTTTAAAAATACATAGCATTTACTAGGAACGTGTAACCTCTCCCCTCTCACCAAAATCTCCATTAGTTTAATAGTTTAATATAAAACTTTTCCTCTCTAGACAGCATTTCTTTCTGTGTTGAATCAGCTGTAGAGGCTAAGGGCATACGAGTGTTCTGTGTCATCAATAATTTCTATGATCCCGAAAGACATGGCTACTTGCCAAGAACCCACACACAGTGTAGCTCTTTCATTCATCAAAATCACACTTATATCTTAACCCTCACTCCCTCAAGTGGATTTTACCTAAAAATACAGCACTTTGAGAAAAGTAATACAGTAGCTTCAGAAATTAAGCTCTTAAGGAAACTTTGCGTCACAGTAAATCTCAGATTTATAGTGCTTGGCAGTTGTTCTGCAACAGTAGTAGCCTTGGGGTTTCTGGCACTAGCTCAGTATTGACAGCAGCTGATGTGGTTTCTTTTCGCTCTTTGACTCCTCTTTAATAAAAAGCATGCCCTATGGCTCATTGGTTTTGCCCCCTCTGGGCTGATAGCAACTTCTTGAGGAATCAAGGAGCCAGACTTGGCATAAAGCCAAATAAATAGCATGGACTGTTGGCTCTTGACAGCATATTGCAATCAAAGCTCCATAAGGCACAGTAAAGCAGTCAGCTACTATATGAAACTCGACAGATACAACGAGCATGCTTTTTCAGACACTCCGATTACTGTCCAATTTATATTGCACTACTGAGTGCATTTTCTTTAGGAAAAGTGTTAAATAAAATGTTAAGCTTTTCATCACTAAATTGAATTTAAAAAGTATTTCACCAAAACACCATATATACACACACACACACACTTTCCAGTCAGAACTATGTCTTTGAAGGATTACTGTTCAAGTCTTATTTAGCTACAAGTTTCCTAATGCAAATACTTCGTATACTACTGAAGTTTCTCACTATTTCCTCTCTAACGTCATAAGAGCAGTATTTTTAATAGTCTAAATTTTCTCATGTTGAAATATATTAAGCAGAAAGAGGTGAAGCTATTTAATTGAGTCCTGCCAATTCCGTCACTACTCTTTCAACAATTCTGCAAGGACTATCACGCTTAAGAGAAGCATCAGACTGACAGTCCCTGACAGAGAATGCACCTATTCACAGAACGGATACAGAACAGAGAGTGGTGGTGCAGATTTTCACATGTGGTTTCACTAAGCACCTCAGCAACGATATTTAGGGACAAAAAAACTCTGGGCATCAGAAAGGACTGACCACTTCACATTGTCAAATCTAAACTTTATGCGGTGTGACTTTTTATGTGAATGTTAACAGAGCGCGTACACGATCCTAACATTTCTATACGATCCTGATATTTCTATTTACTACCACTGAATTTGAATCCTCTTTTTCTGCAGCTGTGAACCTCTCTCCTAACTGCTCAAGATTTTCAACAGCACAATCATTTCAAAATTCAAGTGCGACATTATAGGTCTTTCTAGGCTCTCGCATTACAAAAGTGCTCCCTGCTCCACCTCCCCCCGCCCCCCGGCCCCCAAACAAGCAAAGAGACAGGCCCCGATAATCTGTAATTTCAGTAATGTGCATAGGCAAAATGGCTAATCTTTTATTCCCTACAGAATCCAGCCACCTAAACCAGGAACATTTCAAAAGTCTTTTATGTAACTCTCAAAGCAATCCCTCCCGTACGCTGGACAGCTCATGGAGTGCATCTGGCATATCAACGTGGTCCCCCATTTACATAGTGGAAAATTATCTTTGAAAACAGATGACACCATATGGAGAAGTGGATGAAAGTGGATTTTCTTCTCTTTTGGGGATTTATATTATTTTGTGATGCTTCATGGATGGATAGGGTCACTTATTTTAATCCATTTTTATCACAATGGCAGACAATTCTATACCCAAATGGAACAGACAAATATTTTACTGTCCAGCCTTCTAGGGAAGGTGAATTTTGTACATTTAAAAACAAACAAACAAAATGTGTTCAGAGGACTAAAAGTTACCTCATTATTAATGTCAAAAACTCCTTCCTGGATTTTCTCGTAGATCTCCTTTGCAGTGTTAATAAATGCCTAAAACAGAGGGGGGGGGAAAAAAACCACAAACACAATGAATGCAATATCCTTTGGTGTGAGATGCACTAATTGGAATCCAATCTCATGTACAGTTGTTTCAGCAAGACTTTTCT